TATGCATCTGGACTGGGGAATCTGCATCGTTGCTACTTACGACAGTCTGGCAGCAGTGGGTGAATTGTCGTAGCCAGTCGCCAGGCCCACAGTGCCTTGTAGGAGCTCATCTCGTTCCCCTCCTCCACTACGATTGTTGTCTTGCAACACTCAATCTGAGCTTTGTGTCCTTGCAGGCAGGAGGTGAATGTGTCTGTTGCAGGGGGCGTAGAAGTCTCTCAACTTGCATTCTGTTTTTGCCTTGATTTTTCAGTCATACATTGGGCCACACCACAGTCGATGGAAAGTTGAGCAGTACCATCACAGTGGTGGGGGAATGATTGATGGAATGCAAAGTGCGAACTTGAGAATGATGTGCAATGATTGAGTGACGCAACTGATGTGGGATGCGTGTGATCAGCACAGGTGCGGGAACACGAATGGAGTAGTATAGTGAGTGGAGCAGGACCACAGAGCTAAGCAATTGCTGCTTGCATGCGTCTGGAGGCGCACAGTAGCGAGCTGTCTCAGCCTGCAGCAGGAGAACGTGGTTGGGAGGGACTGTGCTGTTGTTTGCGAGTGGATGTGAGGTGGCAGAACCAGATACGACGTCTGGGAGAGGCTGGCGCCATGTGAGTGGGCCCATCATGGACATTCCACCAGGCATGCCCAATGTCGTGCCTCCGAATGGTGTGGTAGGGCTGGGATTAATCGCATCAATGCACTAGTCCCCATGCTGTGGTAAGAAATATGCGCCATTAAGATAAGCATCGACCAAATCCCCTCGTCCCAGTAACACCCGCGTCCCTCGCACTTCAAGGTCCTTAACACGAAGATGCGACTTGCATCGCACTCTCCCATGGGCGCGTTTATCCTCCGCGCCGCATATGACTGTCAACCTGTGGAATGAGAGGAGGTACAAACACCATCGTTGGTGACTGTCAGCGTCAGTTGTCAAGATCGTCTGCTGACGGTGCGCATGCAGTTGGACAAGTTTGTGATTTACATTCCACATGTCTCTGACCCAC